CTTCCTCCTGAGGAGTGGCTGGGGGGTTTGAACCTCCAGCCTTCTGGTTAGCAGTCAAATGCCTTAGGCACTATGCCACCAGAGCTCCTATTCACACATCGGATGTCCTTAAAACCATTTTGAGTATGAACCAATAGCCAAGTGTGAAAATGAATATCTGGCTAAAGCCAACTATTACCATCCTTGAAAGAATGTCAGGGATGCAAGAGTAAACCTGACAATTTATTAAACTTTAAAAAATAACTTCAATTTTATTGCTGAAAACCTTAGTGGAAAAACTGTGTTGAAAATAACTAAGCCCATTGCTATCAAGCAATTCTGACTCACAGTGATCCCATGTTATAAAGAATAAAATTGTTCCACACCATTTGCTTGGACCTTATGTTGTTGTTTGCTGTTAGGTGCCATGGAGGGTCCAACTCATAGCAGCCCTAATGTACAACAGAATGAAACACTGCCCGGTCCTTTGCCAGCCTCACAATCCCTGCTATACCTGAGCCCATAGTTGCAGCCAGTGTGTCACTCCATCTCATTGAGGGTCTCCCCCTTTTTCATTGACCCTCCACTTTACCAACCATGATATCCTTCTTGAGGGAATGGTCCTGCAGTGTAGTAAATTACTTAGTATGGCTTTTCTACCCATAAGTCATTGTAAACTCAGTGGTGGAATGAGCAACTGAGGAGCTCCTGATTGTAAATGTTATCCACCTGGGTTATTTCTGTTGGACGTGGCACAATGCAATGTTATGGGCTCACTCTCAGGTGCTTAGAATTCTGTTGTTATGATTGGTTGGTTTGGCCACTCTATCAAGCTCACAAGGAGGCCTCCTAGAGGCAGAACTCTCTCTGACTGCTGGTTGAGGAAGACGTACTGCTGAAAGAGACATGCACTACTGAAAGAGACGCAAGAGACACGCATTGCTGAGTAAGACACCGAGGGACATGCACTGCTGGGGGAGAGAATGTGAGAGACTTGGCTGAGAGACTGTGAGCTGGGAGAGAGACTGAGTGTTTTTTCTGAACTTGAATTGTAACCTGGTGCTTCCCTAATAAACCTCATAATCTGTGAGTTCTGTGTGGCCACTGCAACGAATTATCAAACCCAGGAGAGAGGTGGTGGTGCTTTGGGAGGAACAGTTGGTGAAAGGGCTGGAGGGAGGCAGCATGTCTGGTCTTGCAGTAATAGGCCTTGGGCTATTGATGATGATCTGCCTTGCTCTTGTGGGGTTCTAGGAGGTGAGAATATGTGGTGACCTCCTTGCCCATTCTGCAGGTCCCTTCTGACAACATGACCAAATTAGGTCAGATGAAGTCTGGCCGTTCTCGCTTCCAATGAGCATTCTAGCTGCACTTCTTCCAGGACAGATTTTTTTGTTCTTCTGGCAGTCCATGAAGTATTCTTCACTAACACCACAACTCAAAAAGCATCAACTCTTCTTCGGTCTTCCTTACGCATTGTCCAGCTCTCACATGCATATGAGGTGACTGAAAACACCATGGCTTGGGTCAGGTTCACCTTAGTCTTCAAAGGACATCTTTGCCCTTTAGCACTTTAAAGAGATCTTTTGCAGCATATTTGCCCAATGCAATACATTGCCTGATGTCTTGACTGCTGCTTCCATTGGTGTTGACTGTGGAACCAAGTAATGTGAAATCTTAGACAACTTCAAACTTTTCTCCATTTATTGTGGTGCTGCTTATTGGACCTTCTAGTGTAGGAATGACCATACTTATTTGTACAAGACATAACAATTTTTATAATGAATGGAAGGTCACTTTCAACAGAGAATGGAGGAACAAGAAAGTTATTGGCAACTTTTTTCTTCTGGTACTGTATTCCAGTGGCCCAACACATAGTAGATGCTCAATAAACCAAAAAGAACCAAACCCATTGCCATCAAATCGATCTGGACTTGCAGTGACCCTATAGGACAGAGTAGAACTGCCCCATAGGGTTTCCAAGGCTGTCAGTCTTTACAGAAGGGACTGCCACATCTTTCTCCCAAAGAGTGACTGGTGGGTTTGAGCCATGGACCTTCAGTTAGCAGCTTAGCATTTTAACCACTATGCCACCAGGGCTTCCACAACTGGTAATACAGAGCTTATTACTACATAAGCATATAAGTGTGTAATAGTACAGACAGGTAGGAATTTTTGGTAGATGAATATGTGTTCTATCCTGAGTTCTATATTAATCTTGTTCAGTTTAAACACTGCCTTACTCTGCTACTTGTAGCCATAATCACGTAAGAATCCTGCACCTGCAATCACATTCCTAAGATCATAAAACTAAGATAGGAACAGCTCACAAGACAGGGCAATTGCACTCCTCAGATCATGAGACTAAAGAAGAAACATTGCCAAAGAAATAATGCAAATATAAATTTACCACTTAAGTGGCCTTTCCTGATAACAGGCCATTCTTGAGATGTCTTGCAGCTCCCTATCTGTGGCCAGCGTTCACCAGTTTTGAGCCTACACACCCCTGCCCTCCTTTGCCACCCGATGAACTAAGATGGCCAATCCAAGATGAGAGCAAGACTCGAACCAAAGGCAAACAGCAGACTGTGCATGCATCCAGCCTGAGGAAGCTGAGGAGTTTATCACAAACTTATTCTGCTTCCTGACCTTCACAAAAGGGTCAGGATTTTATGAATACCTGCCTGCACAGGGTCTTTTGGAATCAGGTGCCCCACAGCCTTAAAGACTACTACAAAATCCCCTGGCCTGTAAGGCTTGGGAGACGCACATGGCATTGACTCTGGCCCGTATGTCTCCACCTTGCAAAGTTACTATCCTCATTAAATACAGCTGACTTTCTAGTCATTACTTCAGAACCCAGTCTGTGACGAGCATACACTTAATGGCCATTTGGAGGTCTTCTTCAATGACGTGATATTCAACTTTTGCCATGTTTTAAAAGGTTTGTCTTAATGATTTGCAGGAGTTTTGTTTCGTTTACCTTGGATATAAGACCTCTGTTGGATGTTGCAGATATCTTACCCTCACTGACTGCTGTATGTCCATGCCCCTCACTGTGTCCGGGATAATTCTGACTCAAAGCAGGCCCATGTACAACAGCACAAAATGTTGCAGCATCCTCACAAGAGTAGGTGTGTTTGAACCCATTCTTGTAGCCACTGTGTCAATCCATCTCCTTAAGGGTCTCCCTCTTTTTCACTGATTCTGTAGTTTTTATTTTTTTAAATTGTGATATGTGTGTGGGTGAAAGTTTAGAGTAAATTGTTTTCCACTCAACAGTTCATACACATTTTATCTCATGACATTGACTCCAATTCCACACAATGTAATAACTCTCTTCCCACTTCCTCCCTGTAGTTACTTCTTCTCTGTGTCCTTCTTTCCTATGCATTGCATTCCTGCCCTCTGAGGTATCTCACTGTGTAAATGCAGCCCTTTTGATCTCCCACGGTTGTCTGTTCTAAGGAGTGTACCTACGTGGTGTAATTGTTCACCTTGTAGGCATGTCTATTGTTTGGCTGGAAGCCATGAGAGTGAGTTCAGTTCCAGGTCCAAAGGATGAGTAGGGGCCATAGTCTCAGGGGTTTCACCAGTCTCTATCAGAGTAGTAATCCTGGTCTTTTTTTTTTTCTTAATGTTTTTGTGTTTTGTCCCATAGTTTTCCCCACTCTATCCAAAAAAACTGAAACCAAACTCACCGCTGTTGAGTTGATTTGATTCATAGTGACCCCTCCTTGGGTTTCCGGGGCAGTATCTCTGTGGAAGTAGATTGCCCAGTCTTCCTTCCGAGGAGTGGCTGGTGGGTTTGAACCGCCAGCCTTCTGGTTAGCAGTCAAATGCCTTGGCACTACACCACCAGAGCTCCCATTCTGACCCTTTTCTGAGTGGTTGGCAGTGGTAGCTGGGCACCACGTAGAGCTGACTCTCTGAGCATGACGTCCTTCTCCAGCGAATGGTCCCTCCTGAGAACATGCCCAAAGCATGTGAGACGATATCTTGCCATCCTTGCTTCTAAGGAGCATCCTGGACGTACTTCTTCCAAGACAAATGGTCGTCCATGGTATAGTCAGTATTTTTCACCAACATCATAATTCAAAGGCATCAATTCTTCTTCTGTCTTCTTTATTCATTGTCCAGCTTTTGCATGCATTGGAGACAATGACAAATAACATGGCTTGGGTAAGGCATACTTTAGTCCTCACAGTGGGATCTTTGCACCCAGTAGACCATCAATAAATGGTTATTGAATGAATGTTTTGGAGTCCTCGCTCTGGGACTCAGTTTCGTCCTGTGGGGAAGTTAATCTCTATCTTGCCCATGTCACAGAATTTTGTATGGCATTTTCTGGATTTTTGTGTGGCAGCCTTGCGTTTGGAAGTTCGCAGGGAACGTCAGCTTAAGATTCACAAGAGGTGGCGCTGGATCTTTCTCCAGGAAGTAGCTGGCCAGGTCCACGTGTGCGCCCCACCTACAGCAGGCCCCACCCACGCTGTCACTAAGCTGAGGGGTGGGGCAGAGCCGGGTCTCCCAGGGGGCGTGGATAGAATCCGGAACGGAGAGGTGGAGTTCTTAAGCCATTAACCAATGAGAAGGAAGATCCACAGCAGAGGGGGCGGGCCGAGCCGCAGGATGGGATGGGGCCCGCCTTTCCATTGGGCGGCCCAGCGTCGTCAGGGCAACGTGGCGTCCCTTAGTAGGAGGGGCGGGGTTTCCCAGGGAGGCGAAGCCTTCGGGGGCGGGACGGCGCTCTCTGGAGCGCCCGAGTCAGCTGACCTGCCGCCATCTTGTCCACCATTTGCAATCGGCCGGGAGCGGGAGCGCGGCCTCTTGGTCGCCGTCGCCGCCGCTGCCACCGCCTCCACGGGCCCCGCCGCCGAGCTGGCCTGGGAGTCTTCCCCGCCG